GATGGCGCTCCGACAGTGCAGCCTAGGCGGAGTAGTTGAACGCAGATTCACTGAGCGCTCAACACAGACAGCATCGTCAGAAAGAAAGTTGATAAAATAAATTACAAATGTTGTATTGTTCGATACATATGCTGACCGAACCGAAAGCACTGTATCGAACGGTCAATATCGATACGGATAATCGTGCACCCCTAAATATTATATATATAATAATATATATATCATATAAATTATATATATATTATTTAATGTGTTTTGGCTCTGTGCTTCAGTCCTTCAGAAGGATCTCTTCATACCAGCTCTTTAATACTTTCCACAGATAATAATGAGTGTGTGAGTGAGGAGTCCTGCTGCAGCCACTTCTGTAAAAATTATCCAGGCGGCTATGAATGCAGCTGCTGGCCTGGTTACAGACTAAATCCAGACGGTTGCAGCTGTGACGGTAAGGTTGGACTCTTAGCAGATCATCTAGTCTGGTACTTATTAAGGTTTTCTGTGTTGTGGCAAAGCTGTGTATGACACAAATTCTAAAAAGCGTATTTACCAAGTGAGTCCTGAAAAATTAATCCTTTTAAGGCCAGTTCCTACTAGAAAAGGGGGGAAAAAAGAACATTTTACTCAAAAAGCGATGTACAGTCAAGTGCAACTTCTGGATGGGTAGAAAAAAAAATCCATATCTGTGTCATCTTGCAGTGCTACACTATCTTTTCATATACTTGCACTATGTTTGCATTTTCTTCTGTTAGACATTGACGAGTGTCTGGCAGAGATCTCGGACTGTGAACAATACTGCATCAACACTGTGGGAGCGTACGAGTGCTTTTGTCAACAGGGCTTCCGTTTGAATGAGGATCGGCGCTCTTGCGTGTGTGAGTAACATTTTCAGCTTTCCAAATACCACTCTGCATTTCTTCTTGACATATAACATTGTACTTGGTCTCCTTAGCTCTTTACGCCAGAGAGCTGGAAGAGGAAGATGAAGAAGAGGAAGATGAGGAAGTGCAGCTCGAGGCTGGCAGATTACCGGACCTGCTGTTCCGCAACGCTCCTCAGCTCCTGCAGTACACGGCAGCCTTGCGCTCCCATTACGGCAGCGAAGATGATGACGACGATGATGGTAGTCACCGTGGTGACAGTGAAAAAGTATTAGAGATCCTGAGAGAGCGCAGGGGAGAGCTCAGACTGGAAAGTCACATAGGTACAGTAAAAAAACAAAACCCCAAAACAAGAAAAACAAAGCATGTGTGCTGAGTCTGCACTTTGTGCCTGACCAGATCAATATTATTTTATTACTCTCCTTTTGTTTTCCTATTAAATGTTGATGATCTTCAGGAATTTCCTTTGGAATTTCCTTTTTTAGTGTGTCTAGATGACTCATTTGGGGAGGACTGCAGTGTAAGCTGTGAAGACTGCGTGCATGGAGCGTGCAACGTAAACAGAGACCGATGCGAATGTTCGCCTGGGTGGACGGGGGTCATCTGCAATGAGAGTGAGGATTTTTAAAAGTGTTCTGAAGTGACGTCTTTCCATCATAACACAAACACTGTCCTTCAGGATAAATCATGTGCCACCTGTCATCAGTGTACTGTAGCAAGTTAGCTTAGCATGAAGACTTTGCTCCATCCAGAAGTAATAAAAACTATATGGTGGGATTTGTAAATACTAGGCTATATCTCATTGGCTTATTTTGCACAAAAAATAAAAAAAATTGTGACTTTATAAAAGTATTTCGTATACAAATGACACATTATGACAAAGCCTTAGAGGGGAAACTGGCTCCATATTTACCATTATTTTAAGTGGCACATGATCATCTCCTCATCTCACTTTCAGACAGAAAGGGATGAAGGGGAGACATTTATTTATTTATTTATTTATTTGTATGGGAAAATTGACCAAAGCGAATGAGTCATGTCCAGATCACATATCTGATTCAGTTGTACATTGAACAGTACAGCATAGACGGGCATGCACATAGCCTGGATTGTATCACAAGGCACATGTTTTCCCAGAGCTATTTGAACTGCCTTTAGCAGTATGGTCTAGTTAAAGAAAGATGACATAGCTCCCTGTGTGCATCGATCCAGCGTCATGTATCAAAGCCTGACGGCTCTTGTGTGGGAGGCTGTGTTGTTTATGGGCTCCAGAACACAAGAGGGCCAGGGGAATCAATTTGTCTGCTACTACTGTGGCCAGGACCCACAGCAAGAGCACAGCCCGAGGCCAAGGATGTCCACTACTGGGTTACAAAGCAAAGCTTCATTGTTCCCATCCAGCTCTGTGATTAATGGCTGTCTTTTGGTCTGAACCTGAGGAGGAGAGCCACGTGTGATAAGTCCATTAGAAGCATTCTGAAACGAGAGTCTGAGGGAGGCAGTGTTCAGATGCACACCCTGAAGGTGATGGGCCTGGGCAGCATTTTCAGGTGGAGTAGATGAGGAATATTGCTGCCTGAGGCAAAGATATGGGGAATGGTGCAGTAGGCAACAACATAGGGGGCTATAAGGAAAAAAAATATGGGCCATGTATGGCCTTTAAAAAATGTGACATATAACATTTTTATTGTATGAAGTTGTATATATATAAAAAATATATAATTAACTGGGTTACTCTTTCCCATATCTCAAATAATTGAATTATATTTGAATCATATTGCTGAAGCAGTGTGCCAACTCTTAATACTGCTGTTGAAGCATTACAAGTATTTATGGTGTTTAAAACTAGCTCTCTTTGTTATACATGTTGCCTCAGGTTGCCTTACCGTAAGTATTTATTTTATTTAACCAGGAAGTCCCTTGAGATTACAAACTTTTTTTCTAGGGAGAACCTGGTCAAGAGGGTACCTCAATACAAAATGACACCCTTGCCTACTGACCTGTTCACTGCCTTTTTCATATATTATTATGATTTCTCTAAATACGTCTTGTCCCTTCATTTATATATTAATTCATTCATTCTGAACTATTTCCTGTTCTTATCCTGTTCCACAGGGTGCTGCCGTTGCTACACTATTTTAAACAATTTCATCCTGCGATATAAAACTGTTGTAAAGAAGCTGCGATATGGAAGTTAAGCAGCAGTTAACTTGATGGATTAGAATACTTGAGCATGTCTTAAACAGCCAGCTGTTTCTTCTCAGAACTGCTAACAAGGCCAGTGAGATTAAGAAAGTCAGGCAAACCCACAACACCAGGAAAGAGAGGACGGAAGCTGAAAGTGTTTACTGCCTAGACCAAAACTCTAGCTTTTGATGTGTTTATTTTCAAATTTAAAAAAAAAAATAAATATATATATATATATCTTTGGATTTCCACACTGAACTTTTTTTGAGCCAAAAAAAATCTTCATCTCCTTTCTCTTCAGCTTGTCCACAGGGGAGCTACGGACAGGCCTGTAACAGCCTGTGTCGCTGTCAGAATGGAGGCTCCTGTGACCCTGTGACTGGCAAGTGTTTGTGCCCCCCTGGGGTGCAAGGCTTGCTCTGCGAGGATGGTTTGTATACACGCATTCCTACAGACGCATGCAACCACCTGGGTCTAGTTTGCTTGCGACCCCCTCCACATGAATTTAACTATGTGATTAGACATCTGTCAGAATGCTTTTATCCTCTAAAACTGACGAGTCATTAAAAAGATTTATGCTAGAAAGATAAGAAAAAAAAACATGAATTAAAGCTTGTTTCATACCAGGGTGATTATCTTATAAATAACTAGATTCATCTTGATATCCCAGGGTTTGGAAATCACTGCCCTGCATTCTGCTTCAGTGTGTGCTGAATGAGTCATTATTAAAGATGTCTTCTCACAAATGAGGCATGTGGGCTCTGTTGTATTTTTGAATCTAAGTAGGGACTAATTTATTTGGCATTATTCTTGCTCACAGGTTGCCCAAAGGGTTTTTTTGGGAGGCACTGCAGAAGAAAGTGCAACTGTCCCAACAGTGTGCACTGCCATCGTCTCTATGGAGGCTGCCTGTGCCCTCCAGGATTATATGGGCGTTTTTGCCACCTGGGTGAGTGAGAATTGTTAGAGTTCAAAATATTGGTGATAGCAATGTCAATGTTTTTAATGTCACATATTAAAGAAAAGCTTAACAGTCAGGGAATATGAAACTTTTACTGCATTAGCTGAAGAGAGACTGTCCATGCAACTGATAATATTTGCTGTTTGTTTCCTTATAAGATGACAACAATAACGTAGTTGTCAAAAAAAGTGTGAATAATACTTCAAAATCAAATCATTCATAACCAATAACAGTAAGCTTTAGGTTGTGTCAGCTGTTAATACGTTTTCAGGTTTGCACACACACACACACACACACACACACACACACACACACACACTTCAATTTTCATAGTACTCAAACTGCCAACATTGTAAAAAATCTGCATTAATTTTACTTGTAATGAATACACGTTCTCAGCTTTCCGTTTCCTTTGGATGACAAGTTCACACCGACACGTCGCTTGCTTCACTTAGCCGTTTTGATGGTGGCACCAGGTGTGGAGGCAGCTCTCTGGGGAGCCAGTGGCCCTCCACTTTCTCCTCGATGAGGTGGACCGCCAAAGCAAACTCCTCATCGTCCAGCATGCCATCCCCGTCTACATCGGACAGCCTCCAGATGTGAGCGAGCACAGAGTTGGGCAGAAGAGTCTTTGTCATCCACTCTTTGACTTTGGTTCCGCTAAGTTTGCCCTCAGTTGGACTGAGGTTGTAGAAAATCTCATCGTATTTGGGTTTGTATTTCTCCACTACCCACTCATCGAAATCTAGCTCGCTCCCCTCATCTATGGGAGGTTCTTTGAACGGGTCTCTGCTGTAATGCTCGGGCTTGAATGTTCTCAAAAATTCCCCGTCCAGCACTCCGTGGAGGGATCGCTTTCTCTGTTCTTGTTGTTGGATGTAGGGGACCAGCTTGGCGATGTCAGTGCTGAGGAGTTTATCCAAGGAGGCCATAAGGCTCGGTTTTAGCTTCTTGAACTTTGAGAAGTCTTGCCCCAAAAGTTTCTCCTGAAAATGTGTGCAATCGCATGTGAGACTAACACAGAACATTAGAGTGAATGAAATCTAACAAATATGGTATTTAAACAATAATCAAAGAAGTTGTTTTGTTGACCTGCATCTTTGTGCAGTCGGGGAAATCGCCAGCTGGGACATGATGCTGCTGCTGAATCTTGTTAAAAATCACGGGAAGCTGGTAGATCAGATTATGCTTCTTGCTTTCTCTACAAAAAATGGTTGGCATCTCCTGCTTCAGATAGCTGATAATGTGTGCATGAGCCTGTGAAGAAACACAAGGGAGTCACAAAGGTCACCACAGCAGCTGGATTTGTATATGCAAAGTACCGGTTGGAATTTATCATAACGGCTGATTTCTGACCCTCACTAAGCGCGCTCTCTTCACCAGGTCATTCAGCTTGCGTACTGCAGCGTTGCGTGGCAGGTTCCTTATATCGGCCAACAAATCCTCCTCCTCCAACTCTATCAGCTGGTAGTGGTCGCACATCTGCCTCGGCTCTGACCAGAAGGATCCGATGTAAACCCGTAAAATCTCAGGGGTTCGAAACACTTTTCCCAGTGACCACATGAGGGCGCCATACACTCTCATCAGATACTGAGAGTCCACCCTGTCAGCTTTGTTGAGAACCACACGCAACTTGTCCTCATAACCGCACAGGGCCTCGAATGCTCGTGTGAGCTCATCAGAAAACTCCAGCTTATGCGCGTCAAACAGCAGGATGATCCGATCGACACGCTCTGCAAACCAGCGCAGCACTGCTGCGAAGTCATAGCCTGGGGAGAAGGAACAGAAACATAGGGGTTTCATTAAGACTGTATGTAACACAGCCTCACAGCCTCAAGCCATCGAGGAACGTTTTACACATCCCAGAGGTCCTCACTGGTTTCAAACCATTTCGGTTACACCCACTGAAAAATGTGTCCATAAAACGAAGCAAAGGCTTTTCAGTTCCTCTCCGCTTATCTCCTGCCAGCCCAAAGTCATACTGCTTTCATCAGCTTTGCTTCTGCCTTCAAGTGTTTGAATTTTGCTGGCTGAAATGTTCCTACTTCACTGGGTCTACTACATTTATCACTCTGCTCCCACAGTCCAACATTAATAGAAGCAAAGGCTTGTTAATTTCCTCTGGCACTAAAAGGGAAATTAGAAGACATTCAGCCTCACCTCGGCTCAGTTTTCTTTTAGCAGCAGTCAAGATGCCTGGCGTGTCAATTATGCTGATACTTTCAAGGATCTGATTTGGCATCTGAACACACTGAAACCTGTGAATGTGATGCATTTCAGGATTACTTGATTCATTTATAGGAATAATGGCAAAGCATAATCCTATCAGTACATTATACAAACAGGAATTCTCCTCTGTGAACGCTCATCACCTGTTCAGAAACGAATTTCCAAAAGGGTCGAGGTTGCGAAAGGGCTTTTTCGGGTCCATCGTGAGGGCATTCCCAGGGATGATTCCCTCGACTTCTCCATACATGAGGGCAGTGAAGCAGTCAGTGGTTGGCTCTGGCCCAACTCTGCTACCAAGAAAATCTTGCTCTATGAGATACCTTGAGACACACATGGTGCAAACCAGCACTGTTATCTCCCTTTGTTTAAAACATGGCAAGTTAATGCATGCAGATCCTTTTTTTCCCTTTTTCTTTTTAATGATCCAAGTCCTGAGCTTACCTGATAAAAGTAGTCTTTCCTGTTGAGTACTGACCCATCACCAGCACCATCGGTTTGTTGTCAAAGTCTGCGTCCTCATAGCTTGGTGAGTGAAAGTGATGGAAAGAATAGTATTTTTCTACTGGCAGCAGCCGCTTGTAATAAAGATTCTTCAGCTCCTCTGTCACCATGTTGACGTCCCCCATTGCTTTCGGGGTGCTCCAAAGCCTCCGGAAGGACATGGCGACAGCAGTTTTACTCTTAATTTCTCAGTGTGGAAGCTGCTCGCTCTTCTTAGACCCAACTAAATGATGGAAGAATGTGCACAAGGCATATTATCAGATTCTCACAGCTGTCTGCTTCATCCTGCAGCGGGACATTAGAGAGGGTGGAGAGGGTGTAACTGGAGCCTGCAGCTGCACCTAACATAAAGCCAATATCGAGAGGGACAGGGTGGAGTGCAGCTCAGCTTTTGTTGCTGTGCGGGGACAGTTTTGGCAAGATTCACCCACAGGGATGTAACAATTGTCAGACTTAAAGGTCATGGACAAAACTTAAATCTGCTTATTAAATGCGTTTATATACAAACAGAAATTAAAGTACTTGCAAAAACAGTCAGAGGAGTCAAAGTTCAATAAATCAGGAGAAACAGGAGGCAGCAGTCACATGACTTCAGCCAGCAGAAATCTATCATGGTCATAACATGGTGACTGGGTGTGTTTGTTTGGCTCATTTTTAAGTGCATTTCGATAGCAAAGAATGTTTAATTTCAATATATTTTCCTTTTTTCCATGAAATTGTGACCAGCTAAACTTTAGACAACAGAAAGTGAAGTTGGTTTAGTGCAGCATTTCTGCAGCTATCAACAGTTATATAAGTGTCTAATGAACGGATTTTGCGTAGTATTACTCAAACACAAGAGGATAATCTAACCTTCTACTTCCATACTATCAGCCTCTTTCTGTCTGTTTTTAAAACCTCTCAGCTTGTCCCAGGTGGACGCACGGAGCGGGCTGTTCCAAGGAGTGCGACTGTGTTCAAGAACATTCCACCGCCTGTGACCCCAAAACGGGAAGCTGTTTCTGCAAGGCTGCGTATCACGGCCCACGATGTGAACAAGGTATAAAAAGCACGTTTATTCCTTGACAGGAATGAAGTGGTTAAGATTTGTGTTTGGTTACATTTTCAGGCCAAATGCTGAACATAGAAGAGGGCGTATTACTTTCTCAGCTGTTTTAAAGGTTCTAAATATGAACAAATATGTTTCCAGTAGCAGTAATGCATCTCTAATGTGAGCTACAAAGGGGAGTCTTGCTGTTTCCTTGCAGTACAGTTTTAGTATAATAGTGTGTAGAAGAAGAAGAGTTTAGGAGGTTGTCGGTGGTCTTTAACAGTCAAGCTTCTACTCGATGAAGGTATCCAAGATATTTGGTTAGAGACTGCACACCATCTTAATCTTTTATGCATCTGCGTGTCTCATTGTAGAATGCGATCCAGGCTTTTTCGGGCCCGGCTGTGAGAAGCCATGTGACTGTCCAGGTGGAGGGTCATGTGACCCCAAGACTGGAGAGTGCAGCCAGCAATGTCCTGCAGGGCTTCACGGACATAACTGTCAACTGGGTAAGCAAAAAAAAAAAAAGATTTAAAGCACTTTGTAAAAGCCAATGTAAGAGCACATGTTCAGTTATTTTGATGTCTAATGTATGCAGTGCAGTTATTTTCAGATGTTTGGCTCGCATTAATAATATCACTCGTTCCTTTTAACCTCTGCAAACGCAGTGTTCTCCACAGAGCTCGATTCCACAGTGCACTCATGTGGTCACAGCTTTTATAGTGAAAGACCGCACAGTGTAATAATGTGTGTGAATTTGTAAACTGCATGGGCCGGCATACTGACACGTGTCAGCACGCATGCTTATAGTTTGCATAGTTGTTGCTTGTGCAACTGTGTGCCTTTTTCAAAGCAGCGCATTTTGTTATGTGTTTGCTCAGCTTTGTCACATTTTTAATTTCCCGCAAAGCATATAGATCTTTCTTTACTCCTCTATCCTCGCCTCCTTCTTCTATTCATCATTTGATAGCTTTGACTGATTACGTGGATGTAGTAGGTGAAATGCATCTATGAATTCACCTGGTCAGTGCAGGTGTTCTTGTTGTTGCAAACTACACAACTAGAAAGTAGGGTTCCTGTACAGCAGGGTGCCCTCTGGCTGTTTACTCTGCTGGTTGATGGAAAGTCCAACCCTCTGTGCTGTGCTCTAAAGTGATGCTGAATATTGCTCGGGAGCCTCTGGTAAAAACATCACTTTATGTCTCTGGGGAGCGGACTAAGATAACAGAGTTACCATGTGTCAGCACTAGTGTACAGTCCAAGCCTAGGCTTGCTGGGTTTGCAACCCAAATAAAAGTTTTTTTTCCTTTTTCTCTAGGTTGTCCATAGCTTAAGTTGCAGGCCAGGTCATGACAGGGGCGATTTAATTCAGTTATTACAGCAGGAGCTTTTGGCAGAGGCTGAATAAATAAGCATCAAGTGATTATGATTTCAACATTTTCACTTGTCCAGCTGCCTCTCTTAATGATTTTTTTCACTGTTGTGTAACCCAGTCTTTTATTTTTTCTCCTGTTACATCATGTCTGTTGTGTATTTTGTGTTGCTAGCCTGCCAAGCTGGAAGCTATGGAGAGAACTGTCTTCTGACCTGTGATTGCAGTGGAGCTCCTTGTGATCCCATAACTGGACAATGCATCTGTCCTGATGGAAAGATGGGACACTCGTGCCAGGAAGGTATTCATTATTGCAATGTCCTATATTAATAGAAAGAAGACAATCAATTATCTTTCTTGTTTGCAGGCTGGACATTTGTTACCCCTCTCAGAGAGTTACAGAAATGTGCAAAGGTTTTGAGCCATCCCTCTTTTCCTTTAATTTGCTGGGAAAAACACAAATAGAATTGTACAAACATTTTTTGCCTTATATACTGGGTTTCCATGTTATGTTTGGACATTTTTAAATAAATCACTGCACCTAACAAACTTGTAAGTCAATATCTTTAATGACGAACTTTAAACAACATTAACTCCCTTAGTCAATATTTCTTTTAGTTTCTTTAAGCAGGCTTCAGGAATAGTTCTCCAGGCTTCTTGAAGGACATTCAAAGCTCTTCTTTGGATGTTGGCTGACTTTTGTTCTGTTCTCTGTCAAGATGATCCCACACTGCTTCAGTAATGTAGAGGTCTGGACTCTGCGGAGGCCAGTCCATAACTGATAGTGATCCATTGTGTTATTTTTCCATATAGGTATATTTTTTTATTGATTTACCAGTGTGTTTGGAATCGTTGTATGATTGTACTTTTCAGATGATCTTCCATAGTGGATCAAAATCTCATGTTTTCATAACTCCTTCACTTTTTACAAGATCCCCGACCTCCCTCGTACATATAAACAATAATTTGGACCACAAATGTCAAATTTGGATTCATTATTCCTGACCTGTTGCCACTGATTTTCAGTGTGGGTCTTGTGTAGTTTGGCATAACTCAGCCTTTTTTCTCCCTGTTTTTTTCTTCCATAAGAATGATTTCTTGACTGCCGTCCTCACACTGACACCATTTTTGATGAGGCTTCAGTGAGCAGTAGCTTGTTCATCTGAAGAGTCAGATGGATCTTTGGGGTCCTGTGTCAGATGGTTGTTGGATTTTTTTCCTGTTTCTTAAGGACAACTTTCAATTACTGCTCTGAAGTATCATTTTAGGACTCCCACTTCTTCTGCTCACCATGACGATATGGGAAAGGTTTCAGATTCTTGGAGTTACCTCTGTTGGTGTAAAAATACCTTTTTTATTCCTTTCAAACTGTGTTGTCTTTGGCATTTTGTGTAAACTGGTTCATCTCAGGACTGGACTGAAAATGAGCTAAAAAGCAGTCAATGACCAAAGAAAAGCTTTGAGAGACATACAAAAAGTCTTGAGCACTTTTGCTCAGGATGACTTTAAAAAAATGACAAAAAAGTCTGAAAGCAAAATATTTTAAAAAATCGTGGATGGCTCAAAACTGCACTTTACTACAATTTCTACAATATTTGAATGTGTATTAAATCTGAGAAGTTAAAAACATAAATACTGCGTACTGCTCTATCAAAGTGAAAGGTACTTGCTGTTTCCCAGACTGCCCTGATGGATTCTGGGAGTCAAAGTGCCAGTCTTCTTGTCCTGAGTGTCAGAACAGAGGCTCGTGCAACAAGCAGACCGGTACATGTGAGTGTGAGCCAGGATTCATGGGACAGCTCTGCCAAAACAGTGAGTTTGCATGAAATTTCTGAGATTAAAACAAAAAAATCATTTAATAAACCAAATGTGTAAGCTGTAGCTGACCTTAATGCTGATGATAATATATTTAATGAGGCATACAACTTTTTTTTTTACTTATTCAACCTCAAATTTTAAAAAACAAAAACAAAAAATGATGATGTCACACTTGGATTTTGAAATTACTGTAATCTCCTCGACTTGCTTGAACACTTTAATTAAATTTAATTATAGAAAGCTGTGACAGAATCAGTTTTCTGATTAATCACCTGTGTTGTGTAGAGTGTCCTGCTGGGTACCATGGACCAGGCTGTCTAACACCTTGCTCTTGCCACCCTGATGCCAGTTGTGACCCACAGACTGGGAAATGCATTTGCCCTCCTGGAAAAAGAGGCCACGATTGTGCAACATGTGAGAATGTAAACAAATGAGACAAAAATAAGAGAATCTGACAGAGTAGCAGAGAAAATAACTCACCCTTCACTGTAATGTTTGCAGTATGTGATCCTGGTTTCTGGGGACAAGGGTGCACCAGTTCTTGTCAGTGCCACGAACAGTCTCTGGGCTGTGACCCAGTCAGTGGTCAGTGTGCGTGTGAGGCCGGCTACACAGGAGACCGATGTGAAAAGAGTAAGTTATTGCCTTAGCTACTAAATCATTTTGTATCATTTTGTATATTTTACTAAATGCTGCCACCTTGGGGCGATTTCAGTTACAGCACCACAGTCAATATTTTTTTGATTTTATGTTTAACAAGCACAATACAGTTTAAATGTTTTATTTGATCCTGATACTGTATAACTGTAGATTTTACATGTTATATAAATCTCTGTTTAAAATGATAGATGGAGACACATGTGGGGAGTCTTCTGGGTTTTTTTTTTTTTTTTTGGATTGGCATTTTTTTTAGTTGGACATTCAAGAGACCGTGTAATGTGCATGCTCCAATTCACAGAGTGTATGAATGGCACTTATGGTCGGGGCTGTGCCCAGCTGTGCCAGTGTGAGAATGGAGCCCTCTGTGACCATGTGAGTGGAGCCTGTACGTGCTCTCCTGGATATACGGGCACCTTCTGTGAGAAAAGTAAGCCATGTGTTGTCTCTGATGTTATTTCTAATCTTATATCTTTACATAAACATATATTGTGTTCCTAATATGCCTGTTTTATGTAGCCCCAACCTTGCTACAGCCTTAAAAATCTCAAAAATGTTATTAAATCACTTGCACAACTTTTTTTGGTATACTGGCTTTAGAGTGAAAGTTTGATTTAAGGAACTTTTAATTGCATTATTAGACGCAAATGTGGCTATAATTGTATCTTTATATGTACTTTAAGCTATTAACAGTGATTTTGGTTCCTTCTCACTTCAAGAATAAACCCTTAGGATCATTTTTTTTTTCTTAAACCTAATTCCAGAAGTAATCCACGTTTTGAGATCCGCCATGTCCTTCTGCCTCCCTCGCTTGCAGCTGCATGTGAACAAAACTTAGTCCATCCCTGAGAAGAAATGAAAGCCTTTGCAATTCCGGTACTCTGGATAACCATGCAACATTATTCACAATTGACTCCAAAATATGTCTGTGGCAGTCCCGTCATAAGCGGATGTCTCATTTTAATAGAATGCCATGTCGATCCTCTTTAGTTAAGCAAAGTAATTTAAATGTTTCCCTGCAAACTTGAACTGATCAAATCATGGATAAACACACTCCTTTGATTTTGTTCTTGTTTTCAGCTCATCCCTCCGGTGGACTGTTGTGTTTATGAGATTATGATGCATCTATCCATCCATCTATGCACTACATTGCACGATTCGTCAGAATTTAGTGAACCTTGCACACAATGATCACCTACTGAGTTTTTGCCTAAATCATGCTCAAGGTCAAGTTTTATGGGAACTTTTTAGTTTTCACAAGAATCACTTCTTTAGTGAAACCAGATTTGTGTGTCCCATGTATGACTGTCTGCAAATTCTCTTTATTTTTATAATAGCTGACCAGTCTCAACAAAAAACATACACAAAGCAATACCATGTGATGGGTCACATGGTGAGCTCATGACATCACTGATGTTCTAGATGCGCAATTGAAGCCAAAGTGGAGAATATATCACTTTCTCTTTCTTGAGGATTTAATGTTTTTCTTTGCTTTATTTGACATAATATCAGCATATATTAGCTTGAGCAAGAGGAAGTTGCAGTCAGTTATTTTTACCATTAATAAATTATTTTAAAAAGCCCCAAATCACTACCAATATAGTTTGGCCAATCATTTTTTATCACAAATGTAAATGTTTTGCAAAATGTAATTCCTGATTCTAGTTTGATGTAAGATTATGGCATTAACATGTTGCGTCTTTAAAACGGTCCACACTGAACGCTCCGCTCCATTCCTGCTGACATTTTTATTTTTCATCACTAGAGGGTGTTGCAGGACATTCTTCAATCTTTTCTCCAACTTCAGTGAAGCGTCCGCCAAATCCCACGACTCGTCCCGCTGTCCTTATAATATCATGAGCGAACCATTTCAGAATTCCAAGATATAATTTGTATCAGCATCCTGCCATAGCAAACCTTTCACATAACAAATATTCACCTGTATTTGTCCTGAACTACAAGACGTAACGACAGTCTGAGAGTTTTAACGATGTAATAGAGTTGTTTTGACTTGAAGTGGCCTCCTGTTATTACAAAGCAAAAGATTTACTGTGACTGTATTACTAGTTCCAGAAATTCATAGCGCCTCCCTAGTACACAGGGCATTGTAAATCACAGCCATGCCACACCAGAGGAGAGCTTCACATCCCTAGTCATAACAGGTTAATGGCTGCAGTCTGATTGGACGTTGCTGTGGAAATGGAGCTATCACTCTGACTAGATTTTAGTTTCTGAAGGCCCATTCCCCTCAAACAAAGGTGTCCAGTTTCTCAGTGTTCTAATGAGCCTCTTCCTTCAGGAAAAGCCAGGAAGAGGCCTTGGCTTGACAACGTAAAGACCTCTTTACTTGATCGGTTTCAAAGAATTAAAGGGAACAAAATGACTTCTCATTAGAACTTAGATCTTGTTATTCACAAAAGTAGTTGGCTCCACAAGATTCAGATAGCTTGATAAGGCCAAAGGCCTTGTTGTGTTCAGCATTCTTGTGGTACTGAGGTTGATGCTAAGCATTCCCATCAAGTATTATTGGAGGAAAGAGCCCTGACATGCATCCAGCACACAGCTTCTTCAATTAAAGCCGATCATGCCGCACTTCTGGTCCGCAGCTTTGATGTCTGCATCAAAAAAACAAAAACAAAACAGAGTTCATTTTGTTGCAGTAAAAAAGAACTGTGGTCTGAGGAGCATTGAACATCCGTGTTCTTGTTGAAGAAACCGGGCCGTTTTGTTGTTGCAGCATTGACCTCTTTCAGTGTACGCAGACCCTGAATAGAACCAGGAAGTTCTATTCTGAGTTCTCTCTATCCGCTCTATTTCTGTGGTCTGCTCTCCCTGGCTGTGTGGTCCCTGGACCTGCTTTATGGGCTGACAGCAGTGGCTCTTACACAACCGGGGATCTGGAAATAATCCTTCTGTCTTAAAGAGCTCATTTAGTCTCGAGATGGAGTCTTTCAATGATGGCACACAGTATGTGTGTGAGTTTGTGTGTGATGGTGGACCGAATCCTGTGTTCCTACCTATAAACAAAGACTCAGAGGGAAGACTCTGCATTTACAAACACTAGCAGACACTGGGCTCATATCAAATGACAGATTGCAGCTCTGTGGTTAATATGGAAACCAGTCGCCCCCTACTGGTGTATACAAATACAAAGTTTGTCATTCAAAATTGTGCAACTGCCTAAAGACTTAAAATAAAGTGCACGCGCTGCTGTAAACTTTCTCCGCTGAAAAGGAGAGTAATTGCTACATCTGTTGATGCTCTTATTGTTCCTCTTATTAAAAGGGAACATGACTCATCTGAGATGCTTTCTGTTTATATTTTAGCAGCAGAGATGTGTTGAGGTGCTCACGATATATCAAAGTAATGGCACTAAGGCATTTTTTCCTGCAGGACAAGCAATGCCAGCTTGTTGCCATGGTGTCAGCAAATGCTATGATAATAATAAACAGCAGACAATAAACCGACGATTTTGCTACCACAGAGTTAATGTACAGCTGCATTAAAATGACAGCATCCTCAGTGGGCTAGCTTTAATAACATCACAGCCTAACCACTACAGAGAGAGTCAAAGACGTCATGCTGTCAGCGTGGGAACACAACGACGGCCATGCCAGAAACTGCTGAGCAGCAAAGATACTTTTTTCCCAATTTGAGGCCTTGAGGCAGAAAAAAAGGAGGAGTGGACACCGTCATCAATTTGAGCGAGAGCAGGAGGGTATGATGCATTAACCGTAGGGGAACACCCTGACTAATGTGGCATTTATAATACATGAAACCACCAAGTTACACATTTTTGCCAATTTGTGGCTTCCTTTGGTCACGTTGCGCTCTGCTTTCCTTATTCACAGAAGAAGTAGTATATAAACGGAATGAAAGAGCTGCTGGCTGCTGAGATAATTTGGACAGACTCTATGCAAACCATTTCTCGCACACTGCTGCAACAGGAAACAGAAGAGGGTACTCGAAGAGAGAAATGTCAGTCAGTCCATGCTTTGGCGGGGAAATAGCAGCGTTCCCATAAATAAAGACCCGTGTGGGTGAAGTTTTTGTTTTGCAGGATACGACTATCATCCGAGTTTGCCTGTGATCTCTACGGTGACAAATTGACCGATCAAAAATATAGGCCGTGAATAAACAGAGTCATTCTTTCCTGCTCTAGTGAAGTCATGCTTACAGATAATATTTACATCCAAACAGTGGAAAGGCTCATTCATCCCGCAACCTCTGGCTAGGTTCCTCTGGATGGGGAGGCACTGTGTTTACCAAACTCTGTGAGTGTCACTTGACTATACACACACACTCGAGCGATTTCTCTAACTTTCCTTGAGAATGGGAAACAGACCTTAAACTGGCATCGCCTTGCATCTGCAGCAGCACTGTCGTGTGTGTGTATGTGTGTGGGTACAGTAACACCAGGCTTTGTTTTGTCGAGTGTTGGTGGGGCCTGTGGACTCAGCAGGTGCTCTATTTACCGGCTCTTTGTGCCCTCTCTAACCCCCC